GGGATGCGTTCCTATTTGTTAAAGAAAAAAAAGGGAGTGTCAGCTTCTTCGGGTGGGAAATACCTCTGCCCTTGGCTTCACTCCAGAAAGAATTCGCGCCGAAGCCTGGTTTGTGATCCAAGTGGGTGTTTATAAAGGGCAGAAACCGTTTCGGGCGTGACATTAAACCAGGGGTGCCAAACTGGCCACCCTCGGGCCCCATGTGGCCCCCGAGGTAATTTTTTTGGCCCACGATGCTCTGAAATAAAATGTAATGAAGGCATTGTGTGTATGGTATTGCCTTGATCTCTCCTAAGCGCTATCTTCTTTATAACATTTTTTTCTATTTTCATTTTATTTCAGAGCATCGTGGGCCACAAAAAATTACCTCGGGGGCCGCATGGGGCCTAAGGGCCCCCAGTTTGACACCCTTGCATTAAACTGAACCCGGGCCTGCACCCTCACGTATGGGAACCTGAGGAGAACGCAGAGACTGAAGCATGGCTGAGCAGAAGGCAGGGTTTTTTGTTTGTTTGTTTGTTTTGGGGGGGGTTTGTCATTTTCCAGCCTTTTAGGGCCTGCGGTACTGGTTGACCCCTTTGGCGGAATTAAGCCCACCTGGCTTATATTGGGCCAATCCAGGTGTACCACCTTCCTGGCTCCAGGGCCTGAATTGGTGCATGCCCTTTAACCTTTACCGGCTTCCAACTTCCTGTAGGGGGCCCCTAGACATGGAGAAGAACAGCCCCCTATCCTGCCATCTAACAGGAGTTACGAAATGCAAACCCAGCCCCCACAAGCCTTCCTGAGCCAGATGCAGAAACAGGCTGGAGAGATGAGGGAGTCCCCGGGGGCTGCTTTGGAAAGACACACGGAGAACCACAGTTTTCACCAGAGGCAGAGAACAGCACAGGGGCACCAGAAAGGGGCGGGGAGACCTGCCCATGGCATCCACCGTGCTGGGTGGGATCCTGAGGGCTCCTCACACAGGGCCCTGGAGGTCTTCATGGGGGTCTGTACAGAGTCCGGGGGTCCTCCCACAGGGCTGAGTGGGGCTTGAACATGGCCGGGCCGGGTCCTTGCATAAAGCCTGGGGCAGGGGACAATGACCTGGCTTCTTCCTGCTCGGGAACACAGCGTAAAGAACTCCGCGGTGCTGCGGCTGCGGAGTCACAGACTCCGGCTCCACCAAGAAGGGAAAGGAGGGCCCCAGAGCAGGCCTTTCCTCGGGAGCCCAGCTGGCTGTGGTCTACAACCTGAGGTGACCCCACATGAGTCAGGGGAGAACAAGCTCCCCAGGGCACCCCACACAGGCTTCCTTCCACAGTGCCTCTGGGGAACGGGCTTGGACCTCCACCCACCCTGCAGTCACTGCATTGTGTTCCCCACCTGCACCGACTGCAGGGGACCCTGGGGCGCCAACCTCTGGGGACTCCAGGCACTTCTGACCTGTGTGGTGGCAGAGGCCAAGGCTCTTTCAGATCAATCACTTCCCCCAAGGGCCTTACGCATTTGAAATGGCCTTCCTAGACCATCCCCCGTACCCCTACACTGTAAGTTCCATGTAACGAGATCCGAGGGCAGCCCAGCTGCACAGCCGGCCAGCCTGTGGTAGCCTGCACACCAGGCCCTGTGATGCGGCTCCAGCAGGCCAAGGTCCTGCAGCCCATGGGGGCGGCAGGGGAGCTCGGCTGCGGCACTCGCTTGCAGAGCGGCAGGTGCCCGAGCTGGGATGCAGCACAGAAATTTCAACAGGTATCCTCCTCCCTGCCCTGTATCAGACAGTATGCCAGGTTTGTGTCCATGTGGCCGGGCCAGGATTCTCAGTTGTTTGGCAATTTAGGCCTGCCCCCCTGCCACGCACCCCTCTCCTGGCCCTTTGGAAGGAAATTTCTTCAGGCGTGTGGCCTATATAAGTTGATTCTGGGGGGAAGCTAGCTCACTTCTGCAGGGTCTGGATCGTGTTTTGGATTTGAGACGATGACTGGCCTGCCATATTACTTGCTGTGTTCGTCTAGGTAGACAAGAGAAACAAATCCAGGGAGACTCATGTGTATAAGAGAGAACTTTATATCAAAGAGCAATGTGTATTAAGAGAGCATCCCAGCCCAGTCCAGGTCAAGTCCATGAGTCCAATATTAGCCCATATGTCCATTACTAGTCCATAAATTCCTCTTCAGACTCAGGCAGCACATGCAATGATGCCAAATGCAGGAAGATCACAGGTCAGTGGGTGGAAAGCCTTATAGATCCGGTGGCTGTGGACGCATCTCAGTGCTGGCATGGGTCTCCACATGGCTCATCCATCTCCAGGGCGCTGGCTACCATCAGTGTGTCTCCATGTGGCTTGTCAACAGGAAGGTCACGCAGAGTGTGTCCTGCCTCCTGGAGGAAGTCAGAGCTCCCAGAATCCTCAGGAGAAGGTCATTCCCACCAGAGGCCTCATTGGCTGTGACCTGATTGAGAGGTTAGACTCCACCGCTTTGCAAGTTGACAGATGATGTAACGGCCACAGGTGTGAAAGCAGCAGCAGTAGAGAGAGGACGTGCACAGAATCACCCTGGGAAGGTGAAGCGGACGTGTCTCGTCTGATCGTGGTCAGGCAGGATCCCCGAGCTGCGCCCTGAACAGGTAGTTTCCACTAGAGAAGACATGGTGACTGACACACATGGTTCCCAGATTTATAAATTATTATTTTGTCACATCTTGCCCTGTCCGACATCTCCCTTTACCCACAAAGAGGGTTCTAGCATCAAGATAACCTTGGTCTTCTCTGGGCTGACTTGCCCCGGAAGCTCTTCTCCAGGGGAACAATCTACAATACGATCCTTATCAGAAGCGAGTGGGCCCTACCTAGGGTGGGACAGGCAATAGGGTCTGATGTCTCCAGGGCAGACAATCTCCAGGTAGACAGCCTTCTAGCACTTGACCTTCATGTGTAGAGAGCGGCAACCACTGCTTTTAAGCACCTTAAGATTGGCATTATTCCGGAGGACATTGTGGGGATTAATCTTCATGAGAATGTGATTGGGCCTCATCTCTAACGTCCTCAACCCAGAAACCTGGCCTTCCAGGCCTCTTCGACATGAGAAGGAAGAACTTTTCCCCATACGTTCTCTTCCTGGTTTTCAGTTCCCCGCACCCCGCATGGAGCTGCCTTGTGTCTGCAAGAACAAGGGGGGTGGGTGGGTGGGAGGGGCAGGCACGGCTCCAGGGTTTGGACAGCTGAGGAACGTACGTGAGCATGACCCAGTGGGCAAGGAGGTGCCCCTGCACACCCTCCACAAGCTGGAGAGAGGATGGGGTCAGGGCCTCAGGAGGTCTGTCTGGCCGCCGTCTGTAGGATGGATTGACAGGGTGAGGATTTAGAGGCATTTCTGTTCAGGCAGGGGTAAGGGCGGCCTGGATGAGGGCAGAAACAGTGGGCCCAGGGAGGATGGCAGGCCATGAAGGCGTGCAGACAGCCTGGACGCTCACCGGACAGGAAGGAAAGACAACATGACTGGAAATCGAGGCACCGCGGGCGCTGGCCCTCTACCTCACACCGGTGACGTCTTCTCTGTGGGCAGAGTGCCCTTTCTGCCAGGAGACAAGGATTTGTAGGGTCTCTTGCCGTACATGCCAACATTGGCATCCCAAATGGAATCTGAGCCCAGCTATCAACAGCCCTGGTGGTACAGTGGATTCAATGTTGGGCTGCTAACCAGAAGGTAAGTGGTTCACACCCACCTGCTGCTCCTCAGAAGAAAGAAGAGGCTGTCTGTCTCCAGGAAGGTCTGGTCTGGTGCCCATGGGGGCAGTTATACTCTGTCCGATAAGGTCACTAGGGGTCAGAAGAGCTCAACAGTGGGTTTCAGTTTCAACCACGGGTCAGCAAACTGTGGCTCTTTCAATTCCTATATGTGGCTCGGAAGTAAAATTGAAAATGAAAAATTGAAGGGTATTATTCAGATAATGGTAATTCATTTCTTTGAAAAAAAAAATATATATATATATATATGGCTCTTAGATAATTTTTAAATTGCTTTGAGGGACAGAATTGGCTCTTTCATCCCCAAAGTTTGCTGACCCCTGCTCTATAGACATATCAAGGGCTTCAACAGTTGATGGGAAAATTCCACAATCTCTTTCTTCTTGTTAACTTTTGTGACCAGGGAAGGCTGACAGCGCTGGCTGCTCTCACTCAGCAGCAATCCACACAATGTCCCGCCGTCACTCACCCTGATTCCTCCCTGTGTTTGCCGCCTGCTCCCATCCTGCCTCCTTTCCCGACCCCTCGGAATCGTCTTTGGGTAGACGCTGCTCCCTCAGTCTGGAGCGGTGGGTAATTATAAGGGTGCACCCATTGCTAGTGGTGGTGGTTCCCCTCTTAGACCTGTCTACTGTTGGGGTACCCAGGAATGATCAGGGGGCAACCTGGGGCATAAAGCCTGGGGAGGGGACGTGGGTAAGACGCCACGCCTGCGTAAGTGCCCACCGAGGTTCGAGACCCTGTGCTGCTGAGGAGGCAACAAGAGAGCAGAATCAGGCCACCACGTCAGTCAGAACAAGGGAGGCACAGGCATCAGGGCAGCCAGTTCCGGCTGCTCCCAGAGGGCTGCCCGCCTTCTGAGCCAGCTGTGAGCAAACCGAGCCCTGCAGTGTCCGACTCAGCCGCTCTGAGAACCAAGTCTCTGGTGGGGGGGTTGGCTACAAGCGTACAGGGCGAGGACAGCCGCCCACCAGAGAGGAACAAGAGTTGTGACTGGGGCGCCAAGCGGCGGCCGTGTGGCATGGGTGAAGGGAGAAGCGACGGTCTTTGTGGCAGTATCAGACGGGTGAGATCAGCACGGGCCTGCCACAGTCAGAGGCAAACTGGCACCACCCACGCAGCGTGACAGGCAGGGCCACCCAGCACCCTCGGAGAGGCTGTGCCGGCTGCTGTCTCGAGGAGCCAGGCTCCCTCAGGGCATCCTGTGGCACCACCCCCACACTGGACGTCAGCACCCAGACTGGCCATTCAAACAAAGATGGACACTTAGTTACTACAAAAGTCCCTTTATTTCCCTGTCTGTCAGTCACAATGAATAAACTGATTGGAGGTTTGCATGATTGGATAACGTCCACTTGCCATCAGGTCCACGAACACCCACACCTCAGAGTATAAAGCAGGAAGCTGCAAACCAGGGGCCTGAACATGGCGCACCCCGCCCCGTGTTTGCTTACATGATTTAGAACACATACAGGGTGACCTGACAATATCGATGAGTGACCACAGCCCCTGCCCCTCTGCCCATGCACTAGCACGACAAGCGGCCCCTCCCACCCAGCCGTCTGCCGAGAAAACGCCAGGCTGTGCCTGAGTCCGGCGATGACAGTTAACCGTCAAGTGCCCAGCCGGCAGATCAGGGCTGAGTGCCTGGGTTGTCAGACCCTCGCTGGAATGTTCAGGATAATGGACGTGCCCCTGGTCCTCGACAGGAAGTCTGTGCGGCCTCTGAACGAGGGAGGGCGGGGGGCTGACGGAGGACGAGGACCTGAAGGTTCTGTCTTCAGAGTGGTGATGTGTCATTGGACGAGCCCTCTCCTGCCAGACGAGCACGGGGCCCCACCAGGCCGCTCAGGCTCGGTCCGAACACAGAGGACCAGAGGACCGTAGCCACACCCTCTGCCTGTGGGGTCCGTGGTATCTCCACCACCCATCCCCCAGCTCAGGGGGCAGGGGGGCTTCGGCCCATCAGGCTGAGGGGAGGCCGCTCCACACTTGTAAAACAACAGCAGCACATCACGGTCTCGTCCTGCCGGAAGTCAGCTGGCTGGGCTCCCACAGCCAGGGCGGCAGCAGAGACCCTCCAGGCACCGTCACTCATTCAACACGGGAGCCCTTCTCCTCCGCACCAGATGGCCCACCTCCCTCACGACGAGGGGCAAGATGAAGACAATCGTGCAGCTCGTCTGCGGGGGAGAGAAAGGGAGACCATCAGCGGAGTCTTCCCGGTGTGTCCTGGGCATCGCGCTGTGGGCCTTCACGGGGACTCCATGGGAAGACAGCACCTGGTCGTAAAGAGTTGGTAAGACGATCACTCATCCTGCCATTGAGTTGATTCGGACTCACAGTGACCTTGTAGCACAGGCCCTGTCAGTCTTTCCAGGAGCAGAGAGCCTCATCTTTCTCCCACACAGCGGCTAGTGGGTTTAAACCGCCAACTCTGTGGTCAGGAGCCCATTGTGTAACCCGCTGTGCCACTAAGGCTCCTTAGGTTATGTTAATACCAAATACTTGGGTTACCTTTCCATCTCCAAACAGAGCTGAGGAGCAAAAGAGAAACCCTTCGTCATAAAGGGAGCAGAAACAGCAGTGTTTCCTTCTGCAGCTTCTGCTGGGCCCTGGGCTCCCAGCAGGCAGCCCTGGGTGTGGGTGTCTGAAGTGGGGCAGAGACCAGCATCTGTGCTGGGTGACACATCAGCAGCTGAGGGCACCCTGGCCATCTGCTCCTGTGCACACAAACACCCAGGAAACGGCCCCGGCAGCTAACTCAGTGTCCCGGGGTCCCTGTGGGTCAGCATGGGCTGGGTGGTGCACAGTAACTGGATTCCAGCGCTGGGTGTGCTCCAGGGGGTGCGGTCTGGGCGCCTCACTCAGACGCTCACAGGTGCGTCACATTGCCCCTCAACGGCAAATCACATGCAGCTATCTCCAGAAGGTGTAATCCCAGTCAACAATGCCCAGCACAGCAGGCCCACTGGAAGTGAGGAGCCCCACTCAGACCCTCAAGTGCACTGGCCCAGCACTGGTCACAGCACAGTGTGGGGCCAGCCCAGGTCACCGCCCGAGCTGGCTGGGCCAGGACCCCGAAGGAGCAGGCCGGAGATTGACATCAGTCCCTCACTGTCAGCTTCTCTAGGTGGAGATACTTGTCAGACGTGGAGTCTTCAAAAGAGATCTATTGTTTTCAGGTGAATATGATGTGACTTTTTACAAAAGCCTCTTTTAAAAGAACAAAAAACCCATCAAATTGACTGATTTCAACAAGTGACGTAAATGCGTTGCTGCTGTTGTTGGGTGCCATCGAGTGGGCTCCGACCACGGCGCTCCCGTGCACACGTGAGGGAACACGGCCTGGCCCTGGCCATCCTCTTGAGCCTGTTGACCCGGCCACGGTGCCGTCCACCTCCTCGAGGGCCTGCCGTTCCACTTTAACAAACGGCGTCCTTCTCCAGGGCTGGTCTCTGTGTCCTTGCCTCTACGGAGCACTCTGGCTTTACTTCTTCCGGCAGATTGGTTTGTCCTTTAGCAGAGTATGCGACTTTCAATATCCTTCGTCCGCACCACGATTCTTCTAGTCTTCCTTGTTCCAGGTTAACTTTCACATGCAGGTGATGGGATCAGAGAACACCACGGCTTGGGTCAGTGCACCTCAGTCCTCAAAGTAACACGCTCCTTGCTCTTCAGTGCTCTAAAGGGGTCTTACGCCGCAGATTTACCCATGCAAACGTCTTTTGATGTCTTGAGTGCTCCATGTAAGATAAAATCTTTGACAACCTCAACCTTTTCTCCATTTATCCAGTCTAAACGCTTTAGAGTCTATTAATAAGAAAAACACATTACACATACACACTTACCATGAGAATGAAAAAATAGAACACCCACATCCATCCAAGTTTGTCCTGGATCAGAGACACCAGATACTGAGAGAGAGAAAGACAAGAGACAGGACGAGAAGATGATTAGAAACTGATCACACGGAGCGGCCACAGGGCAGGGCGGCCATGCTGCCTCTGAGAACAGGAGAGAGCTGACAGCTGGGCGCTGCAGGAGGGCAGGGCCACCAAGGACGTGTCTCAGCCCCTGACCCCCCCTCTCACCTGGCCAGCCGCAGCCCCGATGCTCCCAGTTCCATCGATGATGCCTGTGACAGTGGCCAGCGCCTCGCTGCTCCCGCGGATCTGCTCCTGGCGCCCCAGGTCGGCAGAAATCGCAGAGCTGATCATGTTTGATGGCCCGCCGATGAAGAACCCTACAGTCGCAAACAGCCTGCTCTCAGGAAGACATCCTGGTGAGCCCCGGGACACTGGCCCACAACGGAGCCCAGGGCAGCCGTGGTTCTCCTATGCTGTCCACTAGGCAGCTCCACTGAGGGAGGCGACCCCCACCCAGCAACAGTGGGAGCTCCCCTCTGTACACACGTGGCCACGTGGTGCACTCTGCCTGGGCTCCCAGACCACACACCAAGTCGCCAGCTTCTAGCACCACTTTGGTCGGAGTGGCCAGCTTCCCAGGCGCGTGCCTGCAGGTGGACCAACTGCACTGCCACAGCTGCCCAGGGAGCAGGCTGGGCCTGTGACCAAGACCTCTCCAAATGCTGGCTCAGGACGTGTCACTGACCGTCCTAAAGGACTTCATCCAGAGGCAATGCGGGAGGACTGACATGGGACAGGAGACCCCACGCAGGGCAGAGCGAACCCTGCAAAGGAAGGACTGCTGGGCTTTCCCAGAACACACCCCCCCCCACAGGGCAGTTTCCTTCCTGTCTGGAGGGCCACGGCACCCAACCCCAGAGGCCTTCGCCAAGTGTCTCTGGGTTTACTGCTCCCCAAAAGTGTCAGGAGCTTCCAGAAGGAGGGTGAGGGGCATGACCGGAGGCCCGCAGCAGCCAACAGGGAGGCGGCTCCCGATTCTGCTGCGAGCATTCTACCCTGTACCTGTGACTGCCATCAGGAGGGCGTTGATGGACTTGCTGTTTGGCGAGCCTGTGAGAGAGAGGCAGAAGGCCATGGTCGACCTCACGGGCGGCGGCAGGCCTCCCAGAGCGGCCCTGGGGATGACTGTGACCCCCTGCCCCACCGGGCTTCTGTGCGTGGACACACTAAAAGGTCCACTCTCACGCAGACGCTAGACTCGCTAGTCACCTCCTCCCCACGCCGGACCCGCCTTTACTGCTCTTCTGCCTGGGTCTGCCCACCAAGCCAGCCCAGGCCCATGTCCTCCCAGCCACATATGGCCACTGGAGGGACATTGCAGACATGAAAGGGACAGGGCTGCCTCTGTCACTGCCTCAGGTCTCCGCAGGCATTCCCTAACTCTGTGCAAACACCTCCTCAGAGACCGGAGAGCCCCGGGGCAGAGGGACACTCACGGCTGTACCCCACGAGGGACCCGGTGGCCAGCAGCAGGCTCAGGGCCAGCACTGGGGCTCTCTTCTGCAGCAGGTCGGAGATGAAGCCCTGCAGCGTGCCACCTGCAGAGGACACAGCAGTCAGGGCAGAACCCATCGTCCCTACCTGGACCCCACAGTTGGCCACCCCAAGACAGTGGGCTCCAGAAGAGCCCCTCCTTAGCTTCCTCTGAGAAAGATGGACACTGGGTTGCTTCGGCAGCTGATGGGCACTGGCCACTGTAAATCAGATGCCAACATGCGGATGGAAGGGCCTTGCCCGGTCTCTCCTGAGAACAACACGTCAGTTTCCTGATGTCCTGCCGGGGACTTTGAGAGACCATTCCCCGGGTTGCGTTTCCAAGGCCTAACAACCCACAGTCTGCAGGTGGACCCTGACCACAGGACACAACAGAGCCGCTCCGTAGGGTGTCGGCATGTCCATCTTTACAGACAATCTCATCTTTCCTGTGAGGAGCGGCTGGTGAGCTTGAACCACTGACCTTTGGGTTAGCAGCTCAACACTTAGCTCAAGGCTCCCTACAGGCTATGAATCAAACCAAAACCACACTCACAATGACTGAGTCAATTCTGACTCACAGTGACCTCACAGGGCAGGGTAGAACTACCCCCATGAGTGTCCAAGACAGCAGCCTTTTGCGAGACAAAGAGCCTCCCCGGTGGCTTCAGATGCTTTCTCACCGAGTCACCAGGGGCCGCACAGGATCGAACAGTGGCCAATAATCACCACAAAAGCAGCAGTCAAGAATTCACACACTGTGTCATACTGGACAGGCCCGCTGCACATGATGTCATGCAGGTGGGCCTGACCCGAGCTGTGATGCGGTCAACTGCCCCACATGCTCATGAAAGCTGGCCCTGGACAGGGAAACTGAGGGACGCAGAGAGTACTGGAAGTGCCCTGGACTGCCGCACCAACCGACCGTCTCGGGATGCTCTAGAAAGAAAGCTGGGCACACTGCCTCGCGTGCTGGGGAAGACCCTGGTGCTTGGCAAGGCAGGGGTCGGGGGAGAGAAGGACCCTGGACAAGCTGGGTGGGAAGAGTGGGCTCCAGCAGCAGCAACAGGAAGTCAGCAGCCACAGACTCACACTAACCGGAGGGCGGGGAAAGTGCACAGAGAGAGGGTGACCCTCCCCATGCTGAGCCCTGGCGGCCAGGAGGCCCAGGGGCACTTGGGCCCTTTATTTTAAAGGACCCCTGTGGTGTTGCCCTTCCCTTTGGCTCTGGATCTGAGAGAAGGGCTAGGAGTTCAGGTGCAGGAAGGGTGAGTCACCCAAGGGTGCGGTGTTGGTTTTCACAAGTGAGTCTCACCACAACAGAATGCGCACATCAGAGAGGTCCGTGCATGGGACATGGCTGTGCCCCTCACACCTTCCTCCTGGTGACAGCCAGCTGGACTCAGATGGCCAGCCCTGGCCCCCATGCCAGATCGGCCTGCGCAGTGAGCTGTCACAGCCGTCTGTGGTGGCAGAGAAGAGGAACCCTTTCTCGTTCACTTAGATCTTGGATATTCGCTTCACTTTACAGTGGAAAGACCCCTGGAAGTGCACCAACCGAAATGCATACCCAAGGCCACCCAGTGAGCCGGGGCTAGGCTTCTGAGACGTCAATCTGGCAGGAACGGGACAGTCTCACCTCTGTTCCTCGGAGAGGCTGGTGGGTTTGAACCCTGAACTTGCAGTTAGCAGCCCAATGTTTACCCAAGAGGGCCGCCAGGGCTCCAAGGAACACGTGCAGAGGAATACATTCAAGGGGACCACACAGGCAGCAAGCACCCGTGTAACCCTAGGACCCAGAAACAGAGCCCCACGACCCCCACCCTTGCCCGAGCCCTGTCCCACCAGGGGGGCTATGAAGGGACCTGATAAAGCCATGGATGACAGACCTCGAGGCCCTGCAGGGAAAGGCATGCCCCCCAACTGCCTACCTATGATGCCTCCGACGTCGTACCAGATGGACAGCTGGTCAGCTTCGGCCTCCTTCCACTTGAAGTTCTTGCTCAGGTAGAAGGGCAGCCAGAAGAAGAAGGAGTAGTTGACCAGCTTCAGGCAGGCGTAGGCCAGCGAGTACTGCAAGACAGGCCAGCACAGTCAAGAGCGCACAGGACCAGGGGCCCGGGAGGACCAGGCCTGCGGCTACAATCACGCCTGTCCACACTCCATTTGTGGTACGGCGTCTGGCCTGCTCCTTGTCCCATGGGTGTCCAGGAAAGCAGGGAGACTGGCCGTGGGAGTAAACACCTGCTCGTTTTTTAAGAGCCCCAGTGTTAGACGGAAGCCTTTCCCGTCAGCAGGAGAGCGTATGCTAGATGGGCAGAGAGGAAAGCATGTGGTCGTGGGGGCTAGAGGGGTATAGTTATGGCGGACTACTGCCTAACCCCCTGTTCCTGAGCTGTCCACACAGAAGCTACTGGATTCGGGCATGTTTTGCTGCAACAAACACCCAAAGGTACGAGGTTCAGGAGAGAAGCAAGTGAAGGAGCAAGGTGGCTAGTCTCTAGGGGTGGCGGGTGAGGGCGGGGGTCCTGTACATCAAAGGGATGGGGCGAGCAGGGCAGATGGCCTTCAGAAGGTTTCTGGCCATACCCCCTGCCCCCATGGTCCCCAGAAGTGCCTCCAGCATGGCTACCACTGCCCCCTAGAGAGCCAGACCCCAGCCAGAAGCGCTCCACTGGTCAGCTGGCCCGAGACAAAGGGACTAAGGCCACTGTGTCCACTCAGGCCGGCAGGCCATGAAACACCATTAGAGCCAGCAGCTTGTGTGTGGCCTAGCACAGACTGACAGGGATGCAGAGGGACAGGGCGTCCAGCAGAAAGGCACGGCACTGGGCTAAGAACACCAAGCACATGGCTCATTAGTGCTGACCGTCTGGCTGCAGGTGGTGCCCTGCTGCACGGGCACCGTGCGCTCTGAACCTGCATCCTCCCCGGCTTTCACTCGCCAGGCCTGGGACCCAGGTAGGTTCTGTCTGGTCAGAAGGACACACGGCAACCAGCAAAGTGCCCTGGACTGCAACTGCAAGGTCGGAGGTTCAAACACACTGGCTGCTCAGTGGAGATGGACGAGGCGGTGCCCGTGGGGACTCGCTGCCTGGGAAACACTCAGGGCCAGTTTTGTTTTGTCCCTCTGGGTGGTGCTGAACGAGAGGCTTGGGGTAGACTTGAGTCTGTGTTTATGAAACCACAAGCCGAAAAGCCAGGGGCTAACTCGCCCCACACCCACGGAGGTCCCACAGTGGGGCTGAGACAGGGCAGCTGGGACGTATCCTGAACTCAGAGTCCGTGGGCAAGCTGGACACTCAGCCCTGGTCTTAACCTCCCTCAGTGCTCAGGCCCTGAGCCGAGCTGGCAGCAGGGTGCTAGTGGGTGGGCACGGTGACAGCGGGAGTGGGCTTCCTGAGCTGATAGCTGGGAGGTGGCCCACCGGGCACTGCAGGGAGCTCTTTGGGGGATTCTGTGAAGAACAGAGTCCTTCTGCAGCAGTCAGATTCGAGCAAATGAGGCCACCTTGGCCTCCATGACCCGCCCTTGGCCAGGTCTGTCAAGCATTGCTCTAGCTGGGCTAGTCAGTGCCCTGAGGGGCAGGGGCAGCCTGTGTGTCATCCGTCCTCAGTGGCTTTGTGCTCGGCCAGGCTGGGTAGTGTGGCAGAGACTGTGGGTCCCTCAAGCTGACACCAGGCCATGCACCCATGCTGGTCGGCTACCTCCCCTGGCGGGGCCAGGGCAGGGTCCTCACCGGTATAACCCCAGGAAGGCAGCAGGCCTGGGAGAAACTGATGGCCTTGACCTCGTGCGGCTCAGCCGGCGCCCCGCCTGCTTGAACCGAGTAGTTGGACTGGTCGTCGTCGTCTTCGATGCTGGCTCCCGTGATCAGCGGCCGGCGCGAGTCTTCCTCCAGGCTTCCGTCTTTGGCCTCCATACCCGGGAGCCCTGGAAGGAGAGGAGGAGCCCATGCGTCAAGGGTCACCCGCAAGTCCTGGGGGCCCCCACAGGCAAGCGCTCAGCCAGTTGTCGAGAGGCTGGAGTCAGGTCCACAAAGAGGCACCTCAGCAGAAAGGCCTGGTCACTGACAGACACCCCGAGTTCTGCCCCGAGACCCTGGGCTGCTGTACCCTCGGAAGTGGGGAGGGTGGAGTGGGGCTCGGCCTGCAGTCAGGGCCAATGGTGTTCTTGAGGGTAGGGTGGGTGGGGAAGCTACGAAAGGCTCAGAGGCCAAGATGGGTCAAGGTCAACAGCTCATAAGCACCAAGTCCAGAGCTCCCCTTATACCATGCCATCTGCTGGCGTGACTCCCCGCACACAGGGAACACAGTGGGCTATGTGTGTTTACATGAAGTGTCTCTTCAAAAATATGTCAACCATCACCGTCTTAAAAATAATTTAACACAGGCCTCCGGGGTTGGGCCTTCTCACCTGCTGCCTTTAGCCCCAGGTAAGCATCCAACCCAATTCTTGTCACAAGTAAGAGAGGGGCACCCCCAGCCCCCCACCCGACCCCTGCTCCCTCAAAAGGTGAAATGAGGGCAACACTGGCCGATCCACAGTCAGGGTCTCCATGAGGAAACCTGTCCTCGGAGACCAGTCAGGCCTCCGGACCGCCCCCCTCTCCCCTCCCCTCCCCAGCCTCCGCCCCACAGAGTACCAACAGCAGCATAGCCCCAGGCCCCCTCCTCACCAATTTCTTCCGGGGACACCAGGAGCCCAAAGAAGATAACAACTCCACCAGCAAACTGCACCGACGCTGTCACCAGAAAGGCATACTGGGAAGACAGGACAGGAGAGGCTCAGTGTGGGGGCGCGGTCGGTCAGGTGGGGTGCTCAGAGCACAGGCTGCTATCTGGCTCCTCCCATGGGGTTCCAACTCAGCGACCCCCGGGACAGAGCAGACTGCACCCCCCGGGGTGCACACCACAGCCCCCCCTTCCCCCAATGTGGGTTCCAAGGCGGACTCCTTAACCACTGTGCCACCAGGGCCACAGGGGGCCCAGAGCCCAAGCCAAGCCCACTGCCACCGAGCCCATTCCATCTCACAGCGACTCAGCATGGGGCCCCCACGACTGAACACCCCTAGGGAAACAGACAGCCCGCCCCATGCCCCTCCCGAGGAGTGGCTGGTGGGCTGGAAGCACCGATCCCAAAACGTACCCCTCCAGGAGTACCTAGAAGGGCTTCAAGAACAGGTGCTGGAAAAAAAAGAACAGGTACTGACCACACACTGGCCACACGGACAAGCCATGTGCGCAGGGGCACCTTCACACGTGGTCAGGGGCGGACTCGACTCCCAGGGACTTCCCTTTCAGGGTGCTTGCTGACGGGCCTTTCCTTAGCGGTATGCGGCCTTCATAACAATAAAGGAGCCCATGTAGAGCAGCGGTTTAAAGGTCTGGTCACTAACCAGATGGTTGACAGTTCAAACCCACTGGCTGTTCCTCAGGAGAAAGATGAGGCTGTCTGCTTCTGCAATGATTTATAGTCTTAGTCCTGCAGGGTCGCTGTGGGGTGACTTGGGGTGGGGGCCCTGTTTACACCCTAAGGCAGTGGTCCTCAAACTTTTTAAACAGGGGGCCAGTTCACTGTCCCTCAGACCCATTGGAGGGCCGGACTATAGTTTAAAAAAAAAAACTACGAACAATTCCTATGCACACTGCACATATCTTATTCTGAAGTAAAAAGACAAACGGGGCCAAAACACCAGGCGGTAAATGTCCTTGGCGGGTCGCATGTAGTTTGAGGACGCCTGCCCTAAGGGGAGCAGCTGTCAGCACTCTCAGAAACCAGATGCAGCTGAAGCTGTCTCAGACAGCCAGGAGACGGCCGCCGTCTAAACAAAGGATGCCCTGTGCCCAGGTGATGCCGCGGGGGACATACCTCATAGCCGTACTGCAGGACGGAGGACGCCAGGCAGGCTCCCAGGATGTTGCCCACGGAGGCACAGGCACTCCACAGCCCGAAGATCACTCCCCGCCTGGGTGTGGACAGGGGGAGGCAAGACAGAGTCACATGCCCCATGGCCAGAGCCACAAAAACGGACGCCACAGAGGAGCGGCACTCCACCGGAGGGGGTTAAGGACATCAGGAAGACAAAGCACCCGGTGTCACCTAATTCCCAAAGTGTACAATTCTGAAACCTGCTCTGGGGCTCACTGGGGGGCAGGGGTAAAGGGGATAAAAGGCACATCACAGACCAGGACATGCTTGTCCAATGGTGGACCTGTACTCAGAACACAAAGGGCTCCCGGGACTGGGGGGAGATGGAGGGGGACAGGAGAATTCATTGACAAATACAAAAAACAATCCAGTCACCTCAAAAGAGAATTCTTTTTTTTTAACAGACAAAATCAAGAACCTCAAGTCAAATACAGCCTAGGAAGTGCATGCCGGTTTGGGGGTTCAGGGAAGCCCCAACATTTGGCGTTCTTCATTGGAGCCACGTGGGTAAGTTTGGCCTCACTAAGGTGGCTCCCACCTAAGAAGGTTGGAGCAGGTCCCACAGGAAGGCACTCAGGGTGAAGGCGGGGGTGGGGGTAGGAAAACCTGGGGCCCGCTCCTTCCGTCTGGACTTGTACCCCCGGGGTGGGCCCGCTGGGTGCCTCCTCTCCAGGGCAGCCGGCCTCTGGTGAGCTAAGTGGCAGTGCTGGGGCAGAAAGCAGCTTACCCAGCTTTCCCGAACCAGTTGCCCATGACGGCCACCACACAGGGCCAGCCTGTGGACTGCAGCAGTCCGTTGACGACCCACAGGGCGCAGTAAAACCACTTGTTGTAGAAATGAAGCCACTCGGTGACGGTGCCGAAGACAAAAGCCTGGGAGAAGGGACATGCAAGGACCTGTCACATCTGACGGACGACGCACCGCTAACAGTAGACGCCGTGAACACATGAGCCTGGGGGCGTGTGGCCAGCCTGCAGATGCCCTGGTCAGAGCTGGCACTGAGCAAGACAGCCACCAAGCTGCCACTGGAGAGAGGGTTGGAGATGGCAGAGCTTGCGTGTCCTGTTTCATGTGGCTCTTGTAGCCAGAGCCACCGTCACTCCCTGTCCCTGCCCGGGCCTGGTAAGGTGGGGCAAGACCCTGATAGGATTCACTGGTGGGTAAATGCAAACAGGATTCCTGGGGGTCATCCTGTGGCACACAATGAGCCTCTGAGAAACAGCAGGGGACCTCACTACTAGCCTGGAGTGGGTGCGTCCTCGGGACCCCGGGGTCTCTGTGCAGTGACGACAGCGGTGACATCGGAGGAGCAGCAGCAGAGCAGGAGCCAGAGCAGAAGCACAGGGGTGGAGAGCTGAGTGCTGTCGGGCAGGACACTGGCTTACGGAGTGGGGTGCCTCTGGGCACTTAACTGGGGGAGCAGGACTTACTCATGGAGGTGGAACTGAGTGCCAATTGCCTTTAGGCTGAGGTTTACAGAGGCACGGCGTGCCCTCCGGGTGTCTATGAGCAGCTTTGGCCCTTGCCAGGCACCCACCTCCACCTGCTCTTCTGCAAACCTGTGCACGTGAGTCAGGCTAATGGGAGTCTTTCGTGTGATCACAAGAGCAGAACTTGGGCTGAGAGACCTCAAACTGCCAACTGAAGCCTCACTCCCAGACTCTCTCAGGAGCTTAAAGTCTCTCAGAATTCACACTGGAGCCCGCTTCGTATGGAAACTGAGAGCGAACTGACCGCTACAGCAGCCTCGTGTGGTTTCTGAATAAAAGGGCACCCCGCCCCCACCCCAGTGGTGAGGCCCATGCCCTAGCACAGCCCTGCGAGCCACCATCCTTGTCCTGGTCCTCGTCCCGTGAGGGGCTGTAATGCCAGTCTCTGTGCCAGGGGGTGGCTCCAGGTCAGAGCGGCCCATTAGGATAAGGAGGCAGGATCCGGGTGGGCTGTTTCCAAAGCTGTGGTGCTAGAGGGTGTGACTAGTCCCCACCCTCCTGCATTCACACCTGTGACTCAGGAAGCCAAAGCAGAGAGGAGCAAGCAAAGAAAGGGGACTACCCCCAAGAAGAAAGGGGAGCCAGGTGTGTCCTTTGGACCCTGGATCCCCACACTGGGAACCTTCTAGATCTACCCGGGGGCTGGACGCTCGTGATCACATGCGAAGTGCCCAGGGCAGTCTTGCCATCCTCACTTCCAAGGGGTGCCCTGTCTCTCCCCCGACTTGTTCACTCTACTGCCAGTCTGCGGTCTAGTTCACATTCCCCATCACTCACAGTCTCCAATTCCTCTTGGCTGCCACATGCATGTTTTCCAAGCCTGCTGCCTGCCGATGCACATTGCTCTTTTCCCTCAAATCCGAGCTTCACTGAAAATGCACAGTGGCCCCTACACTCGGGTCATCACAACACAGCAGGGCTGACAGAAGGACACCTGGCTGTGGTACGGTTATTCTATTTAAATCTGACAGGTGGTGGCTACAGTCGTGCGTCCACTGAAGATATCGCTAACTCAGAGAACACCCGAGGTGAACAATATGGGTGACAGGTCCCAAACTCACCCCCGGAGCCTCGGCCGATTTGGTGAGGCTGTTTTTGGACATGGCTAGGGGGCGTCATCGACACAGAACAAAGTGTAGAGAACATGGGGGAAGGGCAGCAAGCTGCAGAACAAGGCTCGCTGGACAGGTCACAGAGGACAGTTCCACGTTTGTGTTGGTGAGCCGGTCAGAACACCAGCACCAGTGAGCGCTGGTCAGGGCTGGCCGTGTTGATGGGCGCGGGCACTACGTTCAAGAAAAACAGATCCATCTTGGAAGAAGTACGGCCAGAGTGCTGCTTGGAGACAAGGAGGGCGAGACTGGTCTCACGCCCTTGGACGTGTGTCAGGAGACAGGTCCCTGGAGGAGGGCAGCGAGAGAAGGTGAGACCCTCGAAGAAATGACGGGCATGGGGGCTGCACAGCCGGACTCCAGCCTGAGAGGAATGCCAGGACGGTGCAGGGCACGAGGACTCAGCCAACCGAGGGCCGAGCAGCACAGCTTCGAGTAAAACCAGCACACTGCTGTCTGCTAAGCAGGTCACTGCCCTCCTCAAGCACCGCTCTCCAGCACTTTTCCTCTCTGTCTACTGATTTATCTCCTCTGGCGTTTTCAGGGAGTCTGTGTGCTGTGCAGTCTCTGTGAGGGTGACAGGCATGGACTACAAACCGCACACAGGGTGCTCTTAGAAGATGCTCTGAAAGAAGCCTACCGCTGAGGACAGGGCAATGGCCAGTGGCTGCTGGAGGCCCAGGGCACCGGTGGACAGACCAGCAGCCAGGCAACTGGCCATTCTGCTAACACTCAGAATGAGAAGCTACAGAGGGTGAGTCTACGGACATGATGCCCCAGTTTTTCAAAGTGTGCAGGATAAAAAGGCTGCGGGTGTGCTTCCCCACACTGTGCATGTCTCCCTGGTGAGCCGTCTGTGGATAAAGTACCTCCATTTCCAAAATCCCAGGGAACAAAGTTCTTCCTTGAACTGCAGGGACAGACCCTGGAAGTGAAAGGCGCCCTGGTGGTGCAGTGGGTCGGGCACCAGGCTGCTGACTGCAAGGTCACCAGCTGCTCCCTGGGACAACTCGGACACACTCACCCGTGGAAACAGTAGTACAGAGACCGGGCCCCGAGGAGGGGCCTTCCTTCCCCTGGCTCTCCCACGTACAACAGGGCACGGCTCGGAAAGTGATCCCACTTACCACCAGTGCAGACGAACACATGCCAAACGAGAGGACACATCGCAAGTTGAGCCGGTCCCCCACGAAGCCACTGATGAAGAGGCCCTGAAAAAGAAGGCGTTTCACGTCACCACTCCCAGGGAGACACGGCCCAGGCTGTCTGTCTCTGTCAGCTCCTCACCTACCAACGCACCTCAGCATGGGCCACCATCGAGACTGAAGGGAGACCAGAAACGAGCAGCCTGGCACACAGTACCACAGTACTGCCAGCCCAACCCTAATGCCCTTCTGTCACAGCCACGCAGGAAGCAGGGCAGGGGCTCGGCAAGCGCCCCGGCTGCCTGTCTGACGGGACCCTGGGCTCCCTGCAGCTTGGGGGCAGCGGTGCTGCACATTGGGCACCAACCCTCTGCCCTCCACCAATGGAGACCCAGGAACTCGAGTTTCTTCATGTATAACGTGCCCACATACACGCACACACATACAACACACATAGAGAGCACACAAAATGTGGAAAACCAGAGACCATGTTTAGCACAGCTATTTGCCTTGAACTGTTGTAGGTGCCATGACTAGCCGTCCAAACTCCGGCCAGGAGTGTGCCTGGGATCCACCCGTGAACAGCCAGGTGGCAGCGACCACGCAGGGCAGAGCCTCCTCATCAGCTGCTGCTCCTGCTGCCCTGCGCCCAGTGCCACAGGGACAGAGGAGCAGCTCTCAGAGGACTCCACGCAACCCAAGAAAGCAAAGCTGGGAGATTCCAAGGCGAGGTGCCTGCAGAACAGGGCCCACGGACACGCTCTTCAAATGAGGGGACCGACCTCACTCACAGAAGGGGCAGCGCCAAGGCACGCACAGCCCGCAGCGAGGGCAGAGTGGCGGGCGGGGCCACCCACCTGCAGACCCTCCGTGGGAAAGGAGGGCCCCCAGCTGAAGCCCCGCAAGCAGCGGCAGGGCCCTTGTTCAGACAGTGCCCAGGACGGAGCCAGACTCGACGTCTGCCGCCTGTCACAGTCTCCTCTTGTAAGGAGGGCAGTCTCATAATCCCCGACCAAGCCCTCAGAGGCCACCTGAGGACTGGCACCTGACTCATGCCTGAAAGGCTTCTTTTTAAGTGCCGGACTCATGTTCACAGGAGGAAGCAGGGCTGAATGCCCACAGCCCAGATTAGCTGTGGTCACTCCCTCAGCCCCACTGGGACTGGGATGACAAAGACGTCCTCGGACCAGGACACCGTGGCATATCTCCTCCCTTTGCCCGCCTTCTCGTCCTCTGCAGCCCTGTGGGACCCACTCCTTCCCCCCACGTCCCGGGAGGCTCTCACCCATCTGATTTTCACAACTGTGCACACTCCGCTCTCTGAAATGTGTGTCCCAGCCTCAGTCTCTTCTGCGGGCCTGTGGCCGGGTGACCCAGGGTCTGCTCTTCACCAGGGGCAGGCGAGCACCTCAAATGCAGCACGCCCACACCTGCCTCTTCCACTCCTTCCTCCTAGAGCCCGCCTCCCCTCCTGCCCAGCAAGTCCTGGGTCAGTACGGAGGGCATGTGGCTACCTTCAGCGCAGAGCCCCACCCCGACCACGACCTGCCTGGGTCCCTGCTACCCCCACCCCACCCCCAGCCCCGCCCAGCCGCACCCTCAGCTCCCCGTGCACCTGAGCACAGCCATCTGCCCTCAGCTCGGCTGGAGCAGCCTCACACGCCCTACCTCTGTCCACCAGGTTCAGTCTCACGGGCAGTGGAAGCGACAAGGCCCTGAGACCACCTCGGCCCTCCCTGCTGCCACTCTGGTCCTGTCACCGCCCACACTGACCGACTTCTCTGGCCCTTTCTCAAATGGCCCTCTTCAGTGCCGTCTGTCTTCCCCAGCCACCTCAGCCACCAAATGACCGTTGACGCCCCAGCCCACACTCAGGTCCTTATGTCCCTTTCCTGCATTCCTGCTCTCCGCAGCTTGTAGTTTTCACGCTGGACCGTGAACTGGGGGCAGGAGCACAGAGCAGACGGTCGGTCTGATGTTCCACCATTCTTACACATTCTGTTTCAGCTCGCCCACTGCCACCCCTCGGGGAACACCCTGCTTCCTCCCTGTGGCTCTGTGACCATTCCTCTTCCTGCCCTAACCCCGGAGCTCTGTCCTTGGTGAATGCTGGCTGATGACTGGCAAACTCTGGCTTTTTCTTCCGTGAGCCTGCCTCACTAGTGTGACTGTCCCCCTGTGGACCTGCTGATTGTTTGGCTGAAAGCTGAGCCACAGGGTTCAGAGCTCTCTGCCCCTACCGATCCCGAGAATCCAAGCTGCGGAAAGGTAGGGAGCGACCGCTGTGGCTGGCTCTCTGTTGAACTAACACCCAGTGACTAGAGCTGGACGCGGTACGTGTTGGACGGATGAGCGAATACACACGCTGCTCCTTCCAGAAGCACTGGGCTTGTCTCTGGTCAGCAAGTTCAGAATCCCGTACAAAGGTCACGAGGTTGAGGGTCTTTTCCACTTATGCCTCTCCCTCCCTCAAAATCCCAGACCTTCCCAACTCACCACGGCGTAAGAGAAGAGAAAAATGGTGTCCAGCGTGCCCAGGAAGAGCGTGGCCCCCTTGGCGTTGGGGAACAGGTGGTTGCTGCTCCAGAGCTGTGAGGATGACAGTCATAGTCAAGGCCACCACGACACCCCGCCCCACCCGGCATTTTCCCAGACCACGTCCATGCCCTCTGACACCCAAAGTGCGGATCGGCCGGGACCAGAGACTGGCGGTCACTGTGTGAGGGGCGGAGGGTAACAGGATATCGTGGTGCTGTCCGGTGGGTGCACAGTGACCCGACGTACGACTGCACAGAACCCTGCTGGGTCCTGCGTCACCCTCACAGCCATTGCTGTTTGAGCTCATGGCTGCAGCCGGGTCACTGCACTGCGTCGTCGAGGGGCTTCCTCTTTGTGGCTGACGCTCGGCTTGAACGAGCATGCCATCCCTCCCAACCACATGTCCTGTCCTGGCTGCCCTTCCTCCAGGACAGATAAGCCATCCTGCGGTGCCCACACCACACCCCATGCTTGTCACCAGCACGCTGATCCAGATGCACCCACTGTTCTTCAGTCTTCCATAGTGTGTGTCCGGCGTCACGTCACAGGCATGGGAGGATGCTGAAAACTCCACGGCGTTGGCCAGGCAGACCTCAACCCCCAAGGTGGCATCTTTGCTCCGTGGTCTTCTGCGGCAGAGGTCCTCCGTGCAATAGCACGCGACTTCGTTTCTTGACTGCTCCTTCCGTGGGCACTAACAATCTCAACCATCGCTCCGTCCACCAGGCCGTTGTTGTTGGCTCAGCTGTGAGGGGCTGGCTTTCTTTATGTTGAGGGACAGCCCACCCCGAAGGCTGCAGTCTTCATCTTCATCGCTAAGTGCTTCGAGTCCTCGTCACCTTCTGCAAGCCAGCTTGGGCCACCTGCATGTGACAGGTTGTTCATAGATCTGGATGCATCCGTCTTGACTCAGTCCAGCTGGTTACATGATTTGCTCGGCACACACACTGAGTAAGCACCATGAAAAGACACCCGCCCGATGCACATCTTGCCTGATTTTACACCACACAGCACCCTCTCAGTCTGTCCAACAACTGCCTTTGGTTGAGTTACAAGTTCCACGTGAGCACACTGGGGTGTTCTGGGATTCTCATCCTTCACAATCCAAACCAAAAGACCTACTGCCACCGAGTCGATTCTGACGGACAGTGACTAGCCTGTGGGTTTCCAAGGCTATAGGGGAGCAGAAAGCCTTCTGTCTCCTGTGGAGGAGCTGGTGGGTTTGAACGCCAATCTTGTGGCGAGCAGCCCAACAACGTAACCCACCATGGGAGTCAGAGCTCCTTATTCTTCACAGTATTATCCATTAATTTCCTGTAATCCACACAATTGAATATCTTTGCATAGTCAATAAAATACAGGTAAACATCTTTCTAGTAGTCTCTGCTTTCAATCAAGATCTATTTGACACTGACCATGAGATTGCTTATTCCACATCCTCTTCTGAATCTGGCTTGAATTTCTGGCAGCAACTTGTGGATGTGCTCCTGCAGTCATTTTAAAATTGTCTTCAGCAAAATTTTACTTGCATGTGATATTAGTAACACTGCTTGACTATTTCCACAGTCTGTTGGATCCATTTCCCTGAAGTGAGCATAAATATGGATCTCTTCCAATTAGTTGACTAAGTAGCTATCTTCCAAATTTCTTGGCATAGACCAGTGAGTGTTTCCAGGGCTGAACCTATTTATTGACACATTTCAAATGGTATTCTGTCCAGTCCTGGCGTCTTGCTTTTCGCCAATGCCTTCAGTGCAGGTTGGACTTCTTCCTTCAATATCACTCACTGGCTCTTGATCACATGCAAGCCTCTGAAGTGGTACGCAGTA